TTTCGACTTGCGAAAAACTTTGAAATTACACGCGAAAATGGACACTGTCGAAATTCCGTTGGCGAAATTCTTATTGGCGAAATTCCACGAAACCAGTAGAACCTGTCGGGTTAGCGCTCTTTTCTCTCAAAACTTCATGATTGCAGCCAGCTGTGAAGAACAGATTCATAATGATATCGTCCTATACAATATTGACATGTGAACCATTATTTGTTAATAAGAAAATGAAAACATTGTTGTCCTCAAGACCTACCAACCTCGGATTGCTGTTTACGATTAGGATTAAACAAGTTCTATTTCTAGTTAAAATATCAGGAAACAGGATTTTAAGTTCAGTAGTGGCACTTCTTGCAACTATTGTAGAATAAAATAATCTTTCTGTGATTAGTAACAGAAGATACATCGTAATCCTGCAAAAATTGTACTACTAGTAGGTTTTCTTTTGAGTTTAGTTTAAAATCTGAATGGCTATTAAGTCAAGGTAAAGGACGATCATTTCGACCAGGTGAACATAATGAACTTGTTCAATATTTAATCAAAGTTTGTGGAATGGATGCAGATGAAGTAAAAATTTAATTTGAAAAATATTCTATAATTTATTTTTTCTGTTTGAAGAGAAATGATCTTCGTCTATCACGTATTATGTTTCAACAAGATTTATATAAACAAAATATTGATGGTAAAAAAAACTAAAAATTGAAATTATTTAATCGAATATTCTTTTCTTTTTTTTTTTAATAAAGAAACTTTTATGCAAACATCCGATACAATGAAAGATGCAAATGAAACATTATCTAAAGGTTTAAAATATCTTTTATTTCAATTCTATTAATTTAAAATAATAAATTTTAGATACTCAAATAAAATTACAAAAAAGTTTACTTATATCTGAATCAGAATTTGTTCAAATTAGTCCATCATCTTCTGTTTCAACAATTAATGAACCAATTATATCTGATCATCAGAAAATAAATTTTACAAATTTCGAACAACAAATGCAAACACCAAGTCCTCAATATATTCGATCAATTAATCATAATGATGAACAAATAACTGAACATAGTTATTCAAATAATCGTTATAGTGATTATGATAATCGACCTATAAAACCACTTGATCAAACTATGCTTCAATCGAAACTTAATCAATATCCAATTGAAAATCATTCAAATGATGATACAAATATTTCTCGACCACGAGCTTTAACTAATCCTCAACAATCTAAACGTACATCAACTCATTTATCATATAATGCTAATAGATATTCACCAAAAACTACTACACATGGACCAACAACATCAACAGCTATGCAGGTTAATATGCGTACAAAATCAAATAAAAATCAACTGACACGTAACTATTAAGATTCAAAGACACATATCAAAATTGTAGCAGAAAAAAAATTTGTGTTTTTTCTTGTCAATTAATTTTTTAGAACAACAAAATCGAGCAAAACGTCATACAATAGCTGCGGATAATACAAATGCGTTTCATTTATTAAATCCTACGCATCGTACGACATTAGCACTTAAGGAGAAACATAAACAACAACAACCTACTTCAGATGAAAATAAAAATCGTAGGTGTACATTAAAAAGAAAAGAAGCGTAAAATCGTAAAGAATAGTTTAAAATAGTTACATTTTTATGATTCGATCCAAGTTGGACTCCGATATCGAATGATTTTTTCTTTTGAGAAAATCGATTTCTTTAATCCCTTTTTCATAGTTGGAAACAAACGACAACATATGCTCTTGATATTTCGCAGTTAGAACAATAGAATTATACGATCGAATCTTTTCTTGTTTATCGTTCTTATCTATACAACTTCCGATCTCTGTATCACTATTGAATAGACAGTGCACTTGCTATGCGTTATTGTACGATGTCAATGAAGTAGAAGAAAAGATCAAGTGATATATAAATTTTTGTTTTACTAAGTTTTGATTAGTTCAAAAACTAGGTTTTTCGTTTATATCGGGATATTGAATAAATGATTTTATTTAATTGAGTAAACATTTTTGAGAAAACTAAGATATTTTTGACCTTTCTTCATCGAAATTTATTTGACTTTCAGAAGGTTCTAAAGCATCAAATATGATGATCGTATTGAGATTTCCAATAAAAAAAAAAACCTATTAATTAAGCTTTCAGTCAATTGAAAAAACTCATTGATTTTTCGGTCATTTGAAGAGCGTTGACTAGATCTTGAAGAAATTAGTTAGAATCAGACTTCTTCGTTTTTTTCGAATAGATTTTCAAAATTTTCTTGTAAAAATAAGATTGAACACCTATCATTAGATTATTTCAATATATGTACTTATACAGAATATTATTGTATTTCGATTAAGCCATATCAAATTCAAATTGTGAAACCTGTTTTAATGACTTACAAGAGTTTGTTCCTAAGTGTCGTATCACTTTTGAGTCAGGACTATGTGCATAATCGAGAATGAAAATACACAGCTCCTTTTTAAATTTTCTCTCTATCTTTATATAATCATTATCATTGTTATAGTAACAGATGATGAAGATGAATTACAGTTAAAATCTGCTCCTGTTAATACAATGTTATCGATTCAAAATACAACATATAATCGAGAGAATAGTAATGAATTAAAAAAATTAACAACATCAATTGAAACAATGAGAACATCAGTTCTTCAAGCGTAAGATTAATGTAAAAAACATTTAATTTCTTTTATTTTTATTTTTTAATAGATATCTTGATTTACATGAACGATTTACGAAAACAACAGAATTACAAACATCAGCTTTAGCTTCACTTTGGAAAATGGTAAATAATTCGAGAATTGAAAAAGAAAAAAAAAAGCAATAAATTCCATATTGAAAATTTTTTGTCTTCTTAGCTTGAAACTCAAAACTCAACTCATCAACATGAAACTGAAAAAATACTTGAAGAAAATCGTTTACTTAATCAACGTTTACATGAACTTGAATTACGTTTAAATATTAAATCTCGTACATTATATCCACCACTACATGCACATATATCAAAACGTGATACAAAAAGTTTTTTTCTTCATTGGATATCTAATCCATTAAATGACCAATGTAAAATTCTTGGCTATCGAATTTATATTGATGATATTTTAAAAGGTTCTGTTGAATCAGAAAAATTTGAAACTATTATTGATTATATTCGTGATGAAGGAGAATATAAAATAAAACTTCGTACATATGATGAATATGGTGAATCAGAAGATTCAAATATTGTTATAGCAAGATTTCGTCGTCAAAACTCAATAACATCACAGTCAGATTCAAATTCATCGGAAAAAAAACCAATTCATCGTACTCAATCAGATCATATAGTGGATAATACTAGTCAAACACAATTAGTACGGATACCATTAAGACAAACACAATCACAAGAGAATTTAGATGATTCACCAATAGATGAAATACATCCACCAATTATTATGAGCAAACAACATACTCCGATTTCCGTAACAAGAGTAAATCAATTTTATTAATTAGTAAATATTTATATATACGATTTTTTCATTTAGAAAAATTCAGAAGAACTTATTTCACCTGTAACATCAAGTCCTTCACATTCTAATCATATAAATTCAAATGATAATATTATGAATCGTAAACCTCCAAAATCACCTGGTTCAAGTCCTAATCATAGTGATAAAATAACAACAAATAATGAATCTTGTAGTAAAATTCTATTCACTAATAATTCTGACGATACATCTTCAACTACTACAACTAAACGTAGTCCTACACGAACAGGAATTATGTCTCGTCTTGCTAAAAGTCCACATAGAATTAAACGTAATGTTCTATTAAATGCTTTAACAATAAATCAAACTTCTAGCCCAACAGAAACTGTCGATACAAATCAATCAGAAGTAATTATTTCATTTTATGTAATCATACATATGCTCAAAAAAGAAATTGAGAGGAAATATTAAATAGCCACACATATACCGGATGTTCGAAAAGTTTTGCAACATTTTGTATTTTGCATTTATCTCGACTTGAGAAAATGATACAATCTTGATTATTTTTTTAAAAGATGCACCGTGAAAAGCTCTACAAAGTTCGTGTAAACAAATTCCTCTTGACTTGCTCTGTTGGTTTTTCCACACTCATAACGAACTACCTAAATAATAGAGCTATTTTTCAGCATAATAAAAATGTTTGCAAGACATCTTTGTTTTGCATATATCTCGGCTTGAGAAAATGATAGCATCTTGATTTTTTTTTTCAAAGATGCGCTGTTAAAAGCTCTACACAATCTATATGAACAAATCCCTATTGCAAAACGAAAAAGGTCTTTCAAACATTTTTCCAATGCTCAATACGGTGGGACATAGCGCCACCATGTAGGTTGTTCGTATTAAGCATCGGAAACCCATCAGAACCAGTTAATAGAGATTTCTTTATACAGTTTTTGTAGAGCTTTTCACGGTGCATCTTTTAAGAAAAACATCAAGATTTTATCATTTTCTCAAGTCGAGATAAATGCAAAATACAACATGTTGCAAAACTTTTGGAACATCCGGTATACAAGTAGACATGAGCGGGACCAGTTGTTTCTGATTGGTATCAAAAAAACGAATTTGTTCTTAGTCAAAAAATAAAATAGATTTTGAGAGATCGAAACCGTCTTGTTGATATCTATATGTATATATATAAGTTCTGATGTCAGTTGTTGTTTTTACTTCGTTTAGATCAAACTAGTTGATCCAACAATAACTTCTCAAGTTGAATTACATAATGGTAGTAATCATGATCATTTTCTAATTCAACAGCCTGTAATAGCATCAAATTCAATGAGTATATCTTCAACTCCACCACCAATACCACCACGAAACAAAAATACTCTTATAAATTCACTTGATCGAAATTCTTTTTAATTGTATATATTTTTCATGTAATTATTATTCATGGATTTTTTTTTTCTTCTTTGTCAGATATTTGATATGTAATACATAAAATTGTTGATTGCTCTTTTTGTTGCTTTGTTTATCAAATTATAAATACAAAACAAAAAAAAGAATCTTTTATGATAAATGATTAAGTTTTATTCAAATGATTATAGTTCTTGTTAAAATCAAGATGTCGCACTCGACAAGATCAATGAAATTAGTTAGGAAAATATACGATTGGATTTAGAAAAAAGAAAATGGGTAAAAAAAAAGTGAGGGACGATAAATCGACATGTCGTTTTTCTCTTCTAACTCATTACATCAAATATGAAACCAAATACAGCATCATCAAATAATTTCGATCGGCCAAAATTACTTTTATTTAAATTTCTTGCTCATCAGTATGGATTATCTTTCTAATAATCATATATATATATTTTTTTCATAAGACTTTTCTCTTAATAGAATTCATCCATTTGCTTATGCCGTAAATACATTTCTTCAACCAGCACTTGATGATTGTCGAGCATTGTTACATGATAATCCACAATATACATTAAATATTTTATTATCACTCACACAAACATTTATACGTTTTGCACCTGATTCAGAATTGATCTATGATGATATACAACAATTTGCTAGTAAATTAATATTATATTTTATTAATGAGTATTGTTTCTTTAACTTTTTTCTCAAAGGTAAACTTAAAAATGCGATTGATGAATGTTTCATTTGGCTTGATCCAGATGCAATTCAACATTCATCAAAATTACTTGAATCAATTCGTCATAATCTTTTATTTATTATTAAATACGAAAGTAAAAAAATTTTAAAACTAAAAATATAAAATTCAATGCGTTTTTTTTTCAAATAGATAAAGAAAATGCCATTTATACAAACATGTATAAAAATATGTCAAGTAAATAAATCGAAAAAAAATTTCATTTTTCTAAATCTTTCGTTTTTTTTTTTTGTTTTCAACAGAATTAACAAATCTTCAAAAGATCAATTCATTACCAGTAGAAGTACAGGCTGTATCATCAAATAATAGTTTAGATACAACAGTTCCAATTCAAAAAACAAATAACAAAGATACAGAAATAAATATCAATGAACACTCAGGTATATCGAGTGTGGCAAAAAATTTTGCATATAATTCTGTTTAGGAATATGGTAAAACATTGATCTTTAATTTTTGAAAAGATGCGCAATTCAATTTTTTTTTACTAGGATTACAAAACAAAATTTTTATAACTATTTTCGAAATTTTAATACACTACTAACACTGAACACATGTATTATATCGTGTTACTTTCTCCTACGAGGAAAAATAAGAGAAAATCGAAAATTGTTGAACTTTGTGTGAACTTCACAGAGTATGAAGATTCTTAGTCATCTTTATCTTGAATACAAGTGAAAAGTAAACTCAGTGTCAATTGATCTGACTGTTTCATCCTGAAATAAAACATCTTTTTTGTGTATTGTTCTTGAAAATAGCGTCTAAAAACATTGAGCTCGATGCATATCAAGATAGATTCTACGATATGAGTCGCATCTATGATAACATTTGTTTTAGTAAGATCGGATTCCAAAAAAAAAACTTTCTTTGAAAAACCGATTTTGTCAAGTCCCGAAATAAAAATTCTTCTCTTACGATCGTTTTGAGATTCTAAAGAAGAATTTCGTATTGATTTTGAACTTTGCATTTGGTTATGAGAGCATTTTTTTCGGATTTCGTTGATTTTTTCTAAAAAATCTAGGCATATTCACAAGAAAGATTTAGATTGAAATCTTGTAACCTCAAGAGTTATCTACAGTATGTACCACTTAGTTTTCTTACATTCTATCTCGATTTGAATTTTTTTAAGTTAAAATTCGTAAAGTTAAAATTGATGCCTATGTTACATATAACACATAGAAACTAGCTCTAGGAAAGTTCATTATCCTGAGATACATGTGTGTTTTTTATTATCGAAATACATAAAAAATTTACTAGAAGATTATAAATATTGTTTCCACTATTAGATTCACACGATCCTAATGAAGATGATAGTATGGCTATGCAACGAATAATCACAAACTCAGTTCCATTATCATTTGGTATGCCTTCGATCCAAGACGAAAAACATTCAACATGTATTTTACCATTACGAACAAATCAGTCAGCATTATCTCCTTCAATATCATTTCAATCAACACAAAATAATATTGTTTCGTCAATGGCAACATCAGTTACAACAAAACTTATGAATCAAATGAAGAATTTAACTGTTACTTCAGCACCTACTTCAACGACTACTAATGTTGTATTAACATCTGGTAATCAATCATCATTACAACCAATATCAACTGTATCCTATCTAGATGAATACGAAATAACAGATTCTACAACATTATCTAGCAAAAAATCGACAGAAACTATAGCTTCTTTTCCACCACGTCATCTTTCAACAATAGATGGAGTTAATCAAAATATTTTAACATCTGATAGTCAAAATTTCTCATCAAAATCAAATGTAATTAATAAAAATTCAAAAATTCATAGTTACGAACTCAATACACCTGCTTCAATACTTCTAAATGACGATACTTCTCGATCTGGTACGACATCAGTAACACAAATGACACCAAATGCATATTCCATGTATGTTAATCAATATGTTAAAAAAAAAACAAAAAAATTTTCTACTATTTCTATTCTATAGTTATGATGATGAATGGGATAATGAAGTAGCTCAACAATATTATCTAACTCAATCTTATATTGATCCCTTGGTAGCCAAAGCTAAGTAAATCAATAGAATTTTTTATAAAATTTTAAAATTATTATTTATCTTAAATAAAATAGTTGGCATCCTGTTAAAGATTATCTTTCGATTGTTATCGAACAATCACATATGAATTATACAACAGGAACTAATAATCCACATATAACTGATCAATATATACGAGAATTTGGAACTAAACAAAGTATCTTGAAAATAAAAACTAAAATTATTTATTTATCTCTCTATATTATAGATCGACCTATTTTACGTGGTGATCTCTGTATGACATATGGTACACCACAAAATGTTCCACAAGCTACTTGTTTACCAATTGGAGTTGGTTTGTCATATGATGAATTAACATTACTTTCATGTGATGTTCATCGTAATTCACAAAATGTTCGTTTATTTGATATTGAAACTGGTCAATTAAAACATACGATTGCTAGTAATCAGGTATTTCAAAAAAAAAAAAAAACTCTTTGAAATTGGTAGATTATTGTACCTAATGTTCGAGCCATGATTAAAGAAGAATGGATGTAATTTGAATAACTCAATAACGGAAATAAATTTGCTAAAAATCAATAGAATTCTATATAATTAGATCAAATAGATACGATCATTTTTATCTTATATATTGTCGAATACAAAGACGTCCGATATTCTTTTCTTTCGATTGCTGAAAATCACAGATCCTTAACTGTTGCTGAGTTATTGAGCCTATGATCAGTTCTCTTTAATTCATCCACATTCAATAGTTAGTACTAAATATATCATACGTGTCTGGATTCCATGAGTTTTGAACTCACAGAATTTAGCCAATTCCAACAACGGAAGCAACTCTAAAAACTCAAGAATTTGTTGAAATTGACGTGATCACGCATTGTTTAATCACAAATTTTAAACAACTACAGTGGTTTTCTACATCCAGAAACATGACGAGAGATGGCAAATATGAATGTACAGAGAACCGAAATCCAATTTCATACTTATACTTGTCCAAGAGTTCGAAAAGTTCAGAATTCATGGAGTTCAGTTACTGCCCGAAAACTAGTCAACGTGTTGTAGGATGTATTAGAAGAAAATTTTGATAATAATAATGCATGATAGTGTTGTTACAGAGTTGTTTTATACATAATACAATCTATAAAATTGAAATTTTATAGCTATTTAGTACCAAGTGTAGGTACAATAATCTGTCAAAATTTCAAAGACTCTCTTTGTTAAATGCAAGAAAGATGAATTTTAAAATCGCTTTAGAATTTCGGAAATATTTCTTGTACAATTAACTTGATACCGAAAAGTAATAAATTTTTAGAAAATTAACAAATACTTAAATATTTTGCCCTACTTAGCTTCTCATAGTTCAGGTCAGCGGTAGGAAGCTACCAAATTAAGCCGAGTGTGTATCATCTCTTAACACACTAATATTCTTAAAAACACAGAAATATTAGTCGATCTGATTTGTCCTGCAGACCAAACAATGTGACCTGTTGACTGTTCTAGCTTAGATTAATGATCGTTTTGAACAATTCTTCAAATCAGTACTAAAGATGAACTTACAGATCTCTATATATAAGAACAATATCTTCAAATACGTCATGAATGCTTTAGCGTATATCGAAGATTAGATTATCTTTGTGCTACTGATTATATGAGTTTGTTTTTTGTTTTGTGCAGCATGATCTAAAATTTGGACTCTCTCAAAACGGTTAATCAATAACGTCTCATTATAATATATGAACTACTTTCTTATTGCGTTTTCGGAGAAGAATAATGAAGATATTTGTCTTAAAATAGAACGAATAAAGCGATCTACTTGTGATTAACAACAGCATCACTTTTTTGTGTAAATAAGCAAATTTGTTCTATCAATTTCTTTTGTTAGCAAATGAAATTTCATCGTCCGAGTGCTGTAATGAGTAATGCACGTAATAATATTTTAATTGTTGAACGAGATTATATTTATATAACTGAACCTGATGGTCGTTTAATACAAACAATTGGTCATCGTTCTATTAAACAATTATATGGTTTGTTTTTCTAATTAAGAAAAATCTTTATTTTTATTTTTATTTTTTTGCTAATTATATTACATTAGGTATTGCTTTATTTCATGATCGTTATTTATTAACAATTGATTCAAAAGCAACTGATAATCAAACATCTGAAAATAGTCGTTTATTATTATTTGATCCAAATAATGGTCAATTAGTATTTGAACAATCTATTGATATAAATCGAAAATCAGAAGATATTTTAAAACAACAAACTATTAATCATATTCAAGGAAAAATTCTATCGGAAACAACAAGTAAACCACGTTTTCTTGCTGTACATAATGATAATATTTATATAGCTGATCTTGGTAAAAAAAAAAAATTTTTTTGTTTATTGAAGAAAAAATTTATCTTGTAATTATTTCAAGGTCGTAGTTTAATCTATGGAACAACTATTCGAAATGGATCTGAATATCAACATACAACTGTATTTGGCGGTCAAGGACGAGCAAATGGTGAAATGACAGATCCATCTGGTTTATTTATTGATTCTGGTGGAAATATTATAAGTGCTGATAGTAAAAATGATCGAATTCAAGTAAATAGAATCTATTTATTTTTTTGTAAAAAATACAATACTCAACCAGCATCTTTAACCTAATCGATCTCAGCCATAGTATGTTCTGGAAGTGTGAAAATTTGTTTATATGTACTTTATTAAGATTGAATGTGGATATTTTCATCTCTCACATTCGTACAACCTTATGTCATGATCTTCTTGTACTACTTTCATAGATATAAATACATTCAATTTCGTAAACACATAATATGTTATTTTTATTTGAGAAAAAAATAAATATTTACACATGAGGATAGATAAAAATAACGACTAGAGAAAAAAATCTAAAAGCTTCTTTCCCTTGAATAATACGACGAATTAAAACAATGATTCTTCTTATTCATAAAATATGAAGGTTAACAGAGTTAGGTCAGAAGAACGATAACATATATATAGAACAGATGAAGAGAAAGAAAAAGGTAAAAAAATGATTTACTCTATAGCCGCTTCAATTTTTATATTCATCCTTTTATGTAATCGACTGTCAATAACTTGTATTTAATGGTCATAAATCATATTCCCATAGTATTACATAATGAGGAGTCAGCTGATTCTTTCCAACGTTATCAGACTGACAAAGAAAGAAGATACTATCCATCATAACAGTGGTGCAATGTCAATCATATACATTCTTGGTCAAGTATATGTAGAGACATTTTTAGACTCCTAGCACATACAGTGGCCGAGATCGAAGACTTGTATTCATTACTGGAAATCATTTCTTTTTTTTTTTTTTTTTGTAGATATTTACATCGGATGGTCAATATAAAACAACATTAAAATTAAATGAACGTATAAAACGCCCATCGGGTATATGTACAAATCGTCTTGGTACAAAATTTTATATTTCATGTTATCTAGCTGGATGTATACGAGCATTTAATATAAATTATTAGTTGAATTTCTTTTTCATTTAGCTTTTTCTTTTTCTTGTTGTTATAAAGAGACTATCTATGTTACTGTTATTTTCTTTTCTTTTTTTAATTAAATACAAATAAAGATGATTTAGAAATGATTTAATTTTGGTACAAGACCATAATGTTCAATAAATACATATGTACCTAAACCTTGTTGTAAAACATCATGTAAACGTTCTTTATTAAATGTTGACATTGTATCTGTAAGCATTGATGATGGTGGTGGTGGAATATTAAAATTGCCTGGAATTGGTGATGTACGAACTGTTGATAGTGGATGATTTGTTGTCGATGGTGGTGGAGGTAAATTGAAAACATGTGATTCATTTGTTGTCATACGTGGACGTTGAGAATCTGCATCACGTAGAATGGGTTTATTACGTTGAATTGAATCATTATTTAACGACATATCTGAAACAATCCTATGAAAACGAAAAAAACGTAAACATATTTATTATGTTTAAAGTAAATGAAATGGATGTTTTTTTTTTCAAGTAATTGGAAGTACTGGCAAGTTTTTATTATTAAAAAATTCGTGAAAAACTATACAAAATTCAAATTCAATACATAAAAAATCTCTTTTTTCAATTTTCGAAAAGCATAAATTCCGGCTGAGTTTTTTTTTGTTATTCTGGACTTTCTCATTCAAATATACTTAAAAGAATATTTGCATGAGACTTTTGGAAAATATCAAGTAATTAGTAATGTGCCGGAGATGCACAATTAAAGTAAAAGTTTTTTATGTATGCTTAGATAGAGTTTGATGAGCTAATTAAGAATATATATATGCGTTTTCGATTTTCGGGAATGATTTGTTAGGAGAAAGTTTTCAAGTGATCTACTTCTAAGAAAAAAATCTTATATTTTATTTTTCGAAACTCAAAACATGGGATATTTTTTTTATGTATCGAATGTGAAAGTTATAATTTTCAGAAGTTTTTATGAATAAAAACTTGCGTTACTCGACTGCTATGATAATTTATAGTTTTCTTTTTTTCTTTATCAAATCATTACTTTTCCTTTAACATTTATCATTGTATAAATGAGACAATTTTTTACTTTCCATACGGATTCAAATTCATATAAGTTAAATAATTATTTTTCAATATTTTTTTCAAAAAAAAAAAAGAAAAAACAACAAGCTTTCGTTTATAATATTTACATAGAATTAAACTATTAGTTCATTGATTTTCTTTTATTCCATATAAACTGAACCATCATCTGGTGTTAAATAACCACAAGCAATAAGTACAGAATCAATTAATGTCCAAATACCAAGGCCACCAAATGAAAAAATTTTTCCAAGTGCTTCTTTAATATGTCCCAAATAGAATCGATCAAAACCCAAACCACCAAAAAAAATACTTATTAATAAAGCACTTGATTTCTTATGACCACTTGTCCAATTACATTGTATATTTCGATAAAATGTTCTTGAACCTAAACAAAGTTGTGTATCATCAGCAATTGTACAATTTGATTTATAACGATTGGAATTTTGATTATGACGACAAGCAATATTTGGTGTACAAGCAAGTTCATCTAATGGTGTTTGATAACAATATCGACATATATACAAACGTTCGAATGATGAAACAATTTTATTATCATTATTTACACATGAACCATTTAACATTCGACATAAACTAGAAAGTTGTTCACCATAAATACAATCTGTTGTTAATGAACAATCAAGACATTCAACAGGTACTTGATTACATGAAATAAGACTGTTGAGAGTACATTGACTATGAATTAAATTGAATATTTGAATGAAAATTAGTAGAATACTATTCACATTGATCATCAGTTCATTGTTTGCAAGCAGAAATAATAAATAAATGATGGATAATCCAATCAGCGAAAAATATTTTTTTCATTGGTTAATCTTGAAGCCAATAATATCGATCTAAAACTATTTGGTTTTCTTTTCTTTCTCATTTCATTATACGTGTATGCCTCCTAGGGTGCAACTTATTTATGATCTATTATTCTTCAGCAGATATTTATAGCTGGTGTCTGTTATTTTCTAGATTTCATTTTATTTACATTTCACTAATCTCGAGCGAACAATGGCATCATCAGTAAAAGAAAAATAATAGATATATATTTTAGTTTTCATCTATTTATATTCTACTAGGGTCAAAAACAACCAATTCATGTTTTAATTACCGGAGCTGCAGGTCAAATTGCTTATTCATTAATTTATCAAGTTTGTAATGGCGAAGTATTTGGAAAAGATCAAGTTAGTTTTTTTTTATCATTTTATAAATAATTTAATTGATGAAAAACTTGTTTTTTTTTCTTTCTATTTAGCCTCTTGTTCTTCATTTACTTGATATAACACCAATGTTGGGTGTACTTCAAGGTTTAGTCATGGAAATCGACGATTGTAGTTTACCATTGGTTAAAGGTTAATTTTAGATGAATTAAAGAAAATTTTCATAACGATCTATTTTACAAAATTTAGGTGTTGTAACAACGGACAGTGAAGAACAAGCATTTAAAGATATTGATGCTGCCTTTTTGGTGGGCGCTATGCCACGTAAGGAAGGCATGGAACGTAAGGATTTACTTAGTGCAAATGTTAAAATCTTTAAATCCCAAGGCGCGGCTCTTGATAAGTTTGCCAAGAAAACTGTTAAGGTAAAAAAAGAAAAATTTCTTATTCTGTATTTTTTTGTATACAAAAAAAAAACAATATTATTAGGTTCTTGTTGTTGGTAATCCAGCAAATACAAACTGTTACATCTTGGCTCATTTTGCTCCATCAATTCCTCGAGAAAATTTTAGCTGTTTAACACGCTTAGATCATAACCGTGCAAAAGCACAAATTGCATCACGACTTAAAGTATCACCTGAAGCAGTTAAAAATGTTATCATTTGGGGTAATCATTCAGCAACACAAGTTCCTGATGCTCGTTTAGCAACTGTAACTCTTAATGGCACTGAAACGCCTGTTTTTGATGCCGTTAAAGATGATCATTGGCTTAAAAATGATTTCATTTCGGTAAATAAAAAAAAAACACATAAGTCAATATAATAAAATTTCATTTTTTTTATAGACTGTACAAAAACGTGGTGCCGCTGTAATTGCTGCCCGTAAACTCTCAAGTGCCATGTCAGCTGCTAAAGCTAGCTGCGATCATATGCGTGATTGGTGGCACGGAACAAAAGACGTAAGTTGAAAAAGAAAAACAAAACAATTTTTTTTTGTTTTAACAAAAAAAAAATTATTCTAGAATGAATGGGTTTCAATGGGTGTCGTTAGTGATGGTTCATATGGTGTTGAAAAAGGATTGGTTTATAGTTATCCAGTACATATTAAAAAAGGAAGCTATTCAATTGTTCAAGGATTAGCCGTTGATGATTGGGCACGTGAATTAATGGACAAGACACAAAAAGAATTACTTGAAGAAAAGAATGATGCATTAAAAGCTACCAGCTCCGAATAAATTGCAACACCATCAATAGGACTCATTTTATCTAACTTTTTTCCCTCGATCCATAGAACCTGTAGTCAGTCAATTGATGTAGTGCAACACTATACTTTTATTACTCTATCCATAATAAAATAAACAATTAGTCATATATAGAAGTGATCTAAAAGGTTAACATGCATTTTTGTTTTTTTTAATATTCATAAGAAATATCAATTCATCAAGGTAACAAGAATGTATTTGTTGTATTTCTGAAAAACTGTCGGCATCAATAAACAATGTGTTTATGTAAATAATCAATTTATATATATATATATATAGAACACTACGATGAATCATAGAGCATTTATTTGTCAATACTTGAATAATTTTAATTTGATAGAACTGAAAAAAATCCTTTTATTTATGCTTCACAACAAGTTCGATTGACTAAGAACGAACAATGTAAATAATGACCTCGATTGTTAAAGTGGTTTCATTTCATAAATGTTCTGTTTCTATTTTATTTTGCTTCCGTTAAATCTCATTTTAACTTCAACCAATACAAAAAACCAAAAAAGAAAGAAAGTATTTTTCTATAGCAGAGCAAACGCTTGTTACAATTATCAGGTGAATAATTCAATATTTGACAATGCCCTTTAATAACAATATTGAAATTTTCAATAGACTAAATCATTAAGTTTTATTACGAACATAGAACATCGTCAATATTTACATGAAAATAAAAAAAAAAAAAGAAGAAAACTATTTTCCGCTTATTATAAGATTAGCACAAATACATAATAATATAATAACAGCTGTATTGAAAAATAACATATTACGAAAACGTGGTTCTAATTCACCTGAACGATACCAAAATGCCTATAATAATAAACATGAAACACAAAAAAAAAAGCAATCTCATTTATAATTACTTACTAAACATAAGTGTGAACAAAGAAGTAGAACAAGACAGATATTTAAAAAAATATGTGTACCACTAATATGTTTAAAGAGAAACATGCCAACAAATGTTGCCTGAAAAAAATTAAATAAACATTTAAAATATTTATATGTTCATCAAAAAAATAAAAAATAAAACAACAATTTACAAGAACAAAGACAGTTGTAACAGCCGTAATGATGATGAATGAAATTCGATCCTAATAGACATAAAAAAAACAATTTTAATTATATATAAATAAGAATAAAATCATTTTTTCTTACCAGAGATCTTGTTTCACCAAAAAGTGGTCGATCAACAAGATCAGCATAAGCTGAACTCGATGCCATAGTCTTAGAAAATAGAAATTACTTTAAATGTACTCGAATGATAGTACAACGGATGTTTCTTTTATTTAAATAAATGAATCATAGTGTCACATGTGATAGGTTATTTTGAACCAATCGAATCTAAAGTAAATCTCTTTACTCATTACTTTATCGGACATTGACATATCTTGTTGCGACTAGTCGTGTAACATTTAGTTCTTTGAAAGTTAATGATGATATTCATTAATTAAAAATTCATTTGTCAAATAAATAAATAAAGAAGAAGAATTTAAACGAATAGGAATTCGATTTCATTGTAAACAATGTGATCATACAACATTAAAAAAACACACTGTTACTTGTCAATCGTATCAATGAAAAATTGTAATTATTCGATGCCTTTCATGTTCAAAATTTTATTTTATTGTTAATTTAACCCGTTGAAGACTGGAAATGCATATATATACACTCGGTCTCGAATCAAGTTGTGCATACTTTTTGTGATGCTGTAGTGATCTGCGGTGGCAGACAGAAAGTCAATCTGTTACAATGTTATACGTGTATGGTGAGGGTGTGAGTGCAGCTGAAGAGAAAACATACACTCGACCATACCGTCAATATTACCATATTCTAAACTACTTTTGAACATTTTTTTTTAATATTGATATGGATAAACATATCCCATCATGGTTTCGAAAATTTCTGAAAAGTTATTATT